GAGAAACATATGCATCACATGCTGCATACTGTTTTTGCTCTTCTGATAAAACATGTTTAGACCAATCTTTGCTGACTCTGATATGATCTGGTTTTTCAAGCTGCTTGCCTAATGTTCGTGCACAAAGCTCAGCCAGGCCTATACGTGCATCTGCTATAATTCGAAGACCTTTTGCTAATCCTGCAATTCTGCAGCCAACTTCTTCAAATCAGCTACAACTGACTTTCCTGCTTTGAGAATCTGTGGACTAGCCATAAAATTGCACAAGGCCTGAGGTAATGTGCCTCCAAGACGGGAAACCTGCAGAATATATACAGATTTTTTTATAAGCAAGCTGAATAATAGCAGTTGATGTTTTCTTTCCAGGAGAAACATCCCATTCCATATCAAATCCTACAACAAGTTTGTCCTCTGCATTCTCAGTATTCAAATCCTGGATAATCCCAGCAATTGTATCAGTGATCTCTGAGGTAGTTGAATTGATAAAGACTTTGACATCAGTTGGTAAAGTATATGCTTCTTTGTCTGCATATTTTCCAACAGCTTGAACATCTTTGGTTAAGGATGGAAAGATTCCTTCCAAAAACTTCTTATCTGCTCCTACATTATCAACAAACATGAATTCTGGTTGAGATAATCCATAAAGATCCAGATTCTTATGCACTTTTTGCAGAGCAGATTTAAAATCAGCATGTGAGCTAGTTGCAACAAAAGCTAATACACGGGCTTCTGCATCTTCATTGGCTACAGTCAAGGTGGCAGAGAATACTGATTCTCCATTGATTTTCATGATCTGTTTTGTAACCTTATAACTATGGTCCATTTGGCCAATCCTGAGATTTTTCATGGCAGCTTGTTGATCCATAGCAACACGGTGCTGTTCAATATATGTATTGTACATCATTCCTAGCCATGGTGCACTTGGAATAAACCCTCCATAGCCTTTGGCATCATCAAAGCTGCTAAATGCAGTAAATTTAGGACGATCATTATGATGTTCCTTAAGCCATGACAAGATTCCATCAAGATATTGACAGTGTAGACGATCATAATATAATCGGTGCAGAACCTGTAAGCTGTTGGAAAATTGCTTGGAGCCTAGTCCATACTGGAAACATGTCCGCATCATTTCAAAGACTGGCTTGGCAATAGCAGACCAATGACTTAAGTATGCTGGAAAAGAATCTTGCAATTCAGGAGATAGCATAGCTATAATTCTAGGATCCCAGCTATTGAAGGTGACAGTTGTCTTTCCACTTGATGGGTTAACACAATTTGGACAGAGATAGCGATATCCAACCAAATAAAAGTTATTTTCAAAATCGACAACACATCGGGGTCTTATATACTGATGACGCTGTAGTTTGCTAGAACAGTTTGGACAATTGAGTCCATTTAATAGCCGTTCAGGATCCCAGTAGAATAATCTTGGATTGTATATTGCTGTTGCATCTGGTTTATTCTTGCCATGCAATAAGAAATAAGTACACTTCTGGGGAACCCAAAATGTTCCTAGTCCATAAAGTTTATCTGCACTGTGTTTCTTGAAATGTGTATAGGCATCTAGAACTGAAGGGGGGAGAGGACGTCGTTTAGATGATGATTCATTATGATCATCATTATCATCATCACTATCATTATCCTCTTCACCTTGACCTTCTCCTAACTGCTCTGTGGGATGATTGAAATCAATGTAATCACTATTTAGTGATTGATTTGCATCATGTTCTGGAATCACATATTCTACTCTTGGACCTTCAGTCAGCTTCTGTATATATGCTCCTGTAAAATCAACTGCTGTAGGTTGTGAACCTAAAGGTGCAGTAGACTGAATCTGTACAGATGGAGAAGAAGAAGTAGGATTTCCCCACTCTTCTAATGTTCTTTGACGTCTAGGTCCACCAGAATCTGTTAAAAGTACTACTGGAGGCTGACTGCTATTTTGTCTGCCACCCCAAGAGCGCTGTTATTATTTAAAAATTAAGCACTATTAAATATAGAATGACTTACATGTGGACCACTATAAGGATGATGTCTTTGGGAAGATGAGGCAGATATATGTGGCTCTTCATTATGTTTATCTGAAGATTTTTCTTTAGGAGGGCGGCCTTTTTTAGCTGAAGGCTCTATTAAGTTTTTAACAATTAAATTCCTTATTTCTTTAGGTATATTACTTACTATAGCTTTCATCCACAAAGATAACACCTGAAGAGGCTACAGCAGGATTATCAGAAACTACCAGAATATTGAGAGTAGCTTAAGAGAATAGTAACCAACATACATGTTGCTATAGGGGGAAACATATAAGAGATAATTTATTTTGTCACAAAAAAAACATACTTGTAGGATTTTCTACATTTCCAGACAGTTCACTATGGAGGAAAATAGCTATTAAAATTTAATAAGTAGGTTATACTAAAAGATCATATTTTACATACTGGAAGAAGTATCAGAAGTAGGAACTGTGCAGAGGATCAGTAGATCAGATGGGAGAATTAGCTCAGAAGACTTACCATCAGTGCCTGGTATAAAGTGCCCCTGGCTGAAAGCAGCTTGAATGATTTTTTGTGGTGCTAAAATCAAATAAATCAGAAAAGAGAATAAATCATAACAAACAGCTATCTGAGACATACCAGATGTGGGTCCTAGATGATAATCAATATATCTAAATGATTAGACATGGGGAATAACATACCTTGAGCTCCTAATTGGCTGCTTTGCTCAAAAGAGGCCATAGGGGCATTTTGAACTGATTGTTCTACTGGAAGCTGTCCAGAGACAGAGGCATCATCAATCTGAGAAAAGTCCAAATCATCCACATTATCCCAATAGTTATGGTCAGGAGAGCCGGCCATAGTGAGTGAGGGAAGCAGACAAGGTGTGTTATCAGATTGCCTCATGGCCGGAGCTGCCATCAGATCTATATCAGTACACATAAGCGCGATGATGTCATCAATATTTACGCGGAATTTCAGTGAGAATTGGTGTAATTCCCTAGCTAGATACATTATAAACTGAGAATTCTCCTTTTTCTTTTCCCTCCTCTTTCCCTTTTTGGCCGATTTTTTGCATTTCTCCTTTGGGACCACAAACACCATTACCGTGCCGCGAGCGGCGACGAGGGTGCAGCCTGCCGATCCGTTACCTGCCCAAGTTGCGGCTTGGGTGGTGTCTCCGGGCTGGTTGAAGAACGCGAGTCGGTGGACGCGAGTGCGTCTAGATGGGAGACAGGTGATGTCGTCATGATGCGTGATGAGCGGCGGAGTGGATGGAGCTGGTGCGTCATTCAGTTCAGGTTACCGGGGCCCATAACCTGTGGAAGAAATGAGAGTGAGAGGAAAGAGAATCCAATGCTATTGGGTAGAGTAGTATACAGGATTTATACTACCTATGAATATTCTACTATATTCTACAATGTTCTGACTGGGATCAGTCAGCAGGGGCTGAATGATCCGCCCGGAGTTCGCTATGGTAAGCGGAATTACAACAAGAAGGGTTAGATGAAGGTGAGGATTGGGAATGGTATTCTGTTAACCCGTGAGTTCTGTGCTCAGTTGCAGTATTGTCTCATTTGATTAGGTTTCCTGACCGCGATATGGTCATGCGCTATCGAGGATGTGGTGTCGGTCACTTTCGAGTTGACGTCCCGGTCGAAGCAGAGCCAGCTATTGCTCGCGAGCCAGAGGAAGTGTCTCTGCCAGAGCACACATTTATCAACCCTGATGTTCCTGAGCAACCTCCTTCTGCTGTCAACGACCGTAAAGAGGTCCCTGAGATGGGGGAGCAGGATGGTAAAGTGGAAGATGAAGACCATGGGCCAGGAAATCTGGACGATGATGACAACGAGGATAGTGAGGGAGAGAAAAGGATAGTACCCTGGACTTGGAGGATGCAGTTGAGAGAGTGGTTCCTATTCATGCTGAGGCAGGTAATGTACCAATGCCTGTAGAGATTCTTGAGTGTTATGCTACATTGTAATCTGTCATTATATCTACTGATGGTATGTATATTCCCGCCACTCTTGCTCTCGGCTGATCTCCCATTCAGCGCGACGTCTTCTTGCAGTATTATCAACGCGACAACATCAATTTCTGGAACAAGGTCGACACATATCTTACTTCTATCCGGGAGCAGGCCAAGGGAGAGGCCCGTCTTACCGCTCGGTATGTGTCCGCTGTCTACACCGACTCCGACTGATCTTCCCCATCTGTTTTAGAGCATTTCGGCACATCCTTACCAATGATCGCAATACCCATGGCACCAACAACTACGAGATCACTGATAACGATGGTGCGACCGTTCAGCAGGAGGTTGCTGATGTAATTGACGCAGCAGCGATGGATGCAGCGAGCTCAGTACCTGGGTCGGAAGGGACTGAGGCATAATTTAGTGTATTTTATCGTACCAAAATTAAAACATTTTTTTTAATTCTCTTTTTTATGCCTGTCTAAGAAGCTAGATGAAAGCTAGATATATTGCTGGCACCCACAAATCCTGTCAGTGTGTCACCTGGTGGCCAGCTTGACCTGGCCACAAGCTGAATCCATTTGAGACAAGAGCTGGATTCCAGCTTGTCCCATGCTGGCCACCAGCTGTCAACAATACCTGTCCCACATATAATTTGCAGCTTATGACCAGGTGGAAACCCATTTGTGGTGTACATAGTAGCTTGTATTCAAATATTTTACTTGACGTTGGAATATAACATGATAAAATAGTTGATAGGAGAATAAAATATCCAGCCATATCTGAGCTAGGCATATGAGCATTTATCTTCTCCTGCAAGAGATTGCATTCTTTTCCTGTAGATTTTATTCCAATGTAAAGGCATAAAGTGGAGATTATATAGGAAAATAAGAATCTGTGGGTTTTGCTGATGTACTTGAACCATAGTTCTCCTTCAAAAAGAAATGAATCTCGTTCAAGTTCACAAACAATACAGATCGTGCCCGGCCGCGTCAACATCTACTTATTGCTTCTGTCGGATCTCCAGCAATAGTCTAGTCAATCATCCTCTTCCTGATTCGCATTGCTCCTGTAGAGCTGGGCATCCTCAGAACACCAAACTCGAGGTCTTTCGGGCGACCCGCTTCACCAGGCACAAGTGCTTCGATATCATACTCGATCAGGATATGCGCCAGCATCGCCTTGAGCTCCGTTGCAGCGAAGAAGCGTCCTGGACATGCGTGGCGACCGTGGCCAAAGACGATGTGTTCTGGTGTGGTCGCAACCATCTGCCGGTTGAACACCTTGGGTGAAGTATCATCATCGTCGTTGTCGATGACACCGCGTCGTTTGCCGTTGCCATTGACAGGACCCTCCTCGCGCATGCGGGAGAATCGGAACCCGTCAAATTCGGATGAGTTTTCGTAGTGTGCTGCACAAGGGATAAATCAGTCATATATAGGGAGAGACGTGAACTGCGAGTTACCCGGGTCTGTGTGTGAGCTCAGTCCCGCAAAGCTGAGAAAAGCACCATGCGGGATAGTTGTGCCGTCTGAAAACGTGAACCCGTCCGGGGCGACAACCTTACGCGACATCGCAACTAGGTGGTGCTGATCAGTGGTATACGGAGAACAGAAAAAGATCGGCATACCCGCCCCAGTCCCGCTTAGACGCTGGCTTTCGCGTAGGAAACTGTCGATCTTATGCATGTTGTTCAATGCTGCCTTCGACCACCCTTCCGCCTCGATGACCTGCTCTGCCTCCTCGCGCATCGCATCGATATGTTCCGGATGTGCGGCTAGGTCGAATAACGCCGACGCCAGTGTCTATAATAACGATAAGAGACGAGAACAATGGTAAAGGCCGATACTAAGCCTACCGTGGAAGACGTGTGAATTGCAGCCATGTTGATAGCCAAAATGCGTAAGGTTAATGCCGGGGGTGTGAGCTCGTGTTCGGGAGCGTAGTCAAGAAGCCACGAAATTAGGTCGTTCTATAGCCGTTAGACTCAAATCTGCGATCGCAAAACTGACACGCACAGGCCGGTCTGGACGGTCTTTCCCGTATCGCTTTTCCGCATCTATGCGCTCTTCGAGGATAGGCCCCAAGAACTTGAGTGCATAGCGTAGAGAGCTATTCTTGGAGGAAAGGATAGGAGATACAAATCTTGATAAGCGTTAAATAGGCGAGGGATGGGGCCACACAACTTCCGCTCACCGCTTCATGAAGTCGGGAAAGAGAGCAATGATAGATCCTCGTGAAAAAACCGAGACCGTGTAGTCGATACTTAGGTTGATGTATTCGGGGTTACGACCTAGGAAAGTGAGTAGCCCAATCATAATCATTGTATGGGAATTCACAAAGAGGTAGACCGACGAAGAGCCGGTTACTGGTACGGGAGACGACCTTCATCATCGTGGGGAGAACAGTAACTGTTTCCCATTCTTTAATGAAGGGGGGGCTTAGAGCTCCGCAACCATTGGAAAAGCGTAGACTCACCACCAGTCGTCCGTAGGGCTAAGACGTCCTGGAACGCATGGACGATTTCGTCGCGGACCTCGGGGAAACACCGGCTGAGATTGCGGGTTAAACTCGTTCGCACGGCGGAAACATGCCATGGGTCGTCCTGGATTGGCTTGCCCATTGTCCACTCAATCTGTAGCGACTAGCACGTGGATAGTCAGCACAGACCAAAGTGAGAGCAGCGTGACGCACTTCTCCGGCAGCCGCTTGGAAGCTCAATATCTCTTCTGGCACCCCAGCTGCCTCGAGGACACGATGGGCCCCATTCGCCACGTACTCCCACCGAAACGGCCGAGCGAAGCGAAATACGCCGGTCGGATCCTTCGCATAAGCATTGGCTACCATGCTGCGAGCGCCTCTGAGAAATCGATACACGGCGACGTAGTACGAGAGCGGGTCGCTGGAGGCACTAGCCACCGCTGGAGTTCGCTTGTCTTTCTCCTGAGGATGGCACCGTGAGCCTCGAGTTAGATAACGTCGTGCGCAACGCACCCATTCCCGAAGCCGAGAGCGAGAGAGCAGAAATGCGCCGCTCAGAACGAGGGCAACGAGCAAGGGTGTCTGGAGGTCCACACTGTCCATGGGCAGAGAAGATAGAATGGAGACAGGCGACACGCCTGGCGGTATTTGAGAGCTGTCACTCACACGATAAACTTCTCTCACCGCCCGACTAAATGCGCGGCCCAAATAAGCGTGTGGCTTGACCCGCGTTTCCCGACCGGGGTCCCGATTTCCAGGAGAAGAGGGAAGAAGATAGATATGTTGCTCGATACACCGGCAGCGAGTTCCTTCGGTATTGCTCCGACCTGGATACAGTGAGCGCGGAAACTTGAAAACGAGCCACGGGCCGATGACGCACTCCAGCTGGTGTCAGCTTAGGAAGACGATAGGGACTGTGTGAGCGCCCCCATATATGTAGCGAGAATTCGCAGGGCGTTAACAAGGCGTGGGGACATTTTGAAGGCCGGTTTGCGACATCCATGATAGTTCGGATTGAGAGGCGATGATGACGTGTCACCCTGATGTTTACTCAAATGATCGGACATAATGATGCATTGACGCTGATTGCCGCAAGACTCGACTAAACATGAGATGCTACGCGTTTGAAACATCGACACCAGTGACGACCACTGAGCTCGGGACGGAGCGTAACAGTAGTCGACGGCCTCCCGTCCATCACCGCCAGCGTCCGGCCCCAGCATAACCGTTTTCGCCATCCATCGGGAACATACAGCAAGCGGTCTCCGCGTTTGCCGATGATCCATCCTTCGCGCTGCTGAAGGCGAGACCCATCAGGGAAACCGCCATGCGTCAAGCTAGAGCCCCCATCCTCCCGGTCAGCATGAATTTGGACATCCCAAACCCGGATTGACCGTTCGGGTCGAGCCGAGCCAGAGACCAGCTGGTTTCCATCCGAAGAGAAGGCCAACGAGAGGACAGCATCGGCATGGCCCTCGAGAGGACGCATCAATAGCTCGATCCCTGTGTCGATGTTCATGAGATGGATCTTCGACTCGCTCGCGATGGCCAGGTGGGTTCCGTGTAGCGCGAGCGCCTCAACGTAGCCAGAATTAGCCTCCCACAACTTTTCCAAAGGACTTTCACAGATTTCGGACGAGAAGCGGGCACGATATACGGACCGTCCACTTGCAGCGGCAATCACCGAATCGAAGGTCGCTAATGCATGGAATGGACGCCGGTTCGACTCCGAGTCGTCGTCAGCCTTCTTAGACTTGCACAGCGGGTCGCTGCGACCGTATAGGTGATGCTTCCAGATCGTCCCGTCTTTTGATGCTGACACGATGTATTCAGAACCCACAAACGCCAGTGCAGTCACATTAAGACGGGGGGCCGGTCCGTGACGAAATGCTCGTCGAATTCTCTGGCTTGTTGTCATGCTGCGGAAGCGCACATAGCCGTCCTTGTATCCAACAACCACAATAGTTGAGTCTGGTGAGATTGCAATCGCGGTTACCGGAGTGGCGGACGATGGCGCCTCGAACTCCTGCAAACTGGACCAGGGTGCCTTGGCGTTGTCTATCGTCAGATTCCAGACTGCGACACGTCCATCTTCACAGCCAGAAGCGAGAAGCGTGCTATCTGCTGAGACGCAGAGGCAGGAAACCGAGTTGAGATGGTGTCCGTCAATAGGCTTGAGCGTCGGCGCGCCGGATAGCGAGTCCCAGAAACGAATCGTTGAGTCATAAGACGCTGACACAATCAGTCCGTCCTGGATGAATGCGACTGCCGTTATGTCGTCTCCGTGGCCCTCAAAGTACTGAGCTTCCTCGGCGTCATGGGCGACAAATACATTCCCTGCTGCAACCTCTTGTCGACCTTCGCGAAAGGTCTCAAGTGTGGGGATAACGATTGTGGCACAGGACGTGATCAGAGGGTGGTAGACTTCATGTATTTGAGAGGTCGTCGTCGTCACCGATTCGAATGTCATCGCGGAAAGATAGATGTGCGGCGCACTCTTTTCAATGCAGCGACGGAACTTCCCAACGAATTTAAGCGCGTCGTTGAGAAAGCACTGCAGCTGGAGGACCAGCGGAGACGGTTGACCCTAAATTCAGACATGAAGTTCGAAAGATGACGTGAAATCGACAGACGCACATTGACCACAAATTTTCGGGTCGCTCGCTGCAATTGTTGTCTTGCGGCCGGCATTTCGTCGCACAAACTCATGACTTCCAGCCAAAACAAGAATTTATGCTGCAGCATATCCCACATCCGAGTCAAGATGGCGTTGTGTGTCCCTTCCAACATCGTGGGCAGAGTGTCAGCCCAGTATTGAGATGCATAGACAAGCTCTGCCGGAAAGCGAGAGCGACTTTGTTGCCGGTGACGATTAGTCTTACGCGACGAAGTGATCTTTGTGCTGTTGAATATCAGGTTATTGCAGAGAAAGTCGAGCATAGTGTATGAAATTTTTTTGCGGATATCCGCTGGACGAATGCGGAACTCCGATGGGCATTCCTCTGCATACACGAGAAAGTCGATAAACGATTGGTGTTTGAAGCTGAGGCAACCGGGCGGAGCACCTCCATCCAGGACGAGAAGAGGGCGCATCTTTTCAGCGAAGAGGTCGATTGTTTGTTGACGAACACGGAGCATGCCAAATAGGGGACTATCTCTAGTCAGAATATGTGTACTCGTGACGATTGCTCCGACAAGCCGGTCTAGCTCGCGGAGGAAAGTGGAACTAGGGGGTTCCCATTGATCCTTCGTGCAGAACGCGCTGCAGATAATCAGCCGATAGAGCTTGTTAATGCTTCCGCGTATCAATAGCCTTCCGGACAACAGTCCATTCAGCTTGTCGTCTGGATTGGGCTCGTCGATGAACTGAATGAGAGTGGCCGCCCAGACGAACAGACCTGCGGCCTTCTCGCTTAGCTTTTTAACATGCGCGGTCGATGGCCAGTCCGGAACGTGGTATCTTAGCGCGAGCTTTTCGAGCTTGTGGTGGAGGAACAGTTCGACGTCCGTCTGCGAATCCTGTAGTTGGAGGTCGACAATTTTTGCGATATCTGCCGTGAATGTGTAGGCGATTCTGTTTTCATCGCGGCTAGTGACAATGAAGCGGATGCTGCTGGGTAATGTCGTAATGCCTCGAAGCGCTTGGAGGAACTGCCCAAGATCTTCCTCGCGCGTCGGGCCATCCAACCCCCCACATTCATCCAAAGCATCGATGACAACGACAAGCGGGGGCGATGCACCTTCTCTCGCCATGGCACGGGAGTGGCGCCTCAAGGAGGCAAACGAATAAGTCTGCAATGCTAGTGATGGCGGGATCGAAATCCGCGCTCCCCAAATGCGTCTGCCGCATCAGGGCTGCGCGGAATTTCTCCTGTTGACCTAATTGGGCGGATAGGTCTCTGATTATCGTCGATACGGCCGTCATATCCGCCTTGTCGCGTTCGACAAAGACGGCGGCGCCAAAGTTGACGCCTGGACGCAGCTTTTTGCACAGGTCAATCGTTGATCGAGCAAGACACGTCTTCCCTGAGCCAGGATAGCCTTTGACCCACAGAATGTTGGGCGCATTCGCGTCTTGAATCCAATTTTGAATTTCTTGGAGCAGGCGTACGCGGGTGCCTGGCAGGCACGGGTCAATCGGTCGAGAGCGATTGATTTTTTCAGGGCGAATCCGATTCAGAATGTCGTAACCAACTTTGTTCACTAGGGAATGTTGTTGAATACACAAATATGTGTTGTATGGCTCACGAAGATCACTCTGCTCGCGGAATATCCGTTCTATTGACTTCACTTTGATGTAGGCATCAACGCCGAGCTTGTTGAGGAAAGTCGCGGTCCAGCGCTTGAAGCGCTTCTCGAGCTTTTCGTACCGTGCCATTTCACCTCGTGCTGCAAAAAGGCGAGGTCCTGCAGGCTAATCGGTCAGCGGTCCACGTGTATAGACTGTTCGGCACCTTGTGTCTCATACTGCCGGACAAAGTTCGCCACCTCCTTGACCTCGGGAGCAATGGTTTGCATACGTGTACCGAGGTGCTCGGCATCTTGGATGTCTTCCAGTTGTTCTATGTAACTCATGAAATGAAGCATGCTTTCTATGAGTTGCAAGATTCGCTCGTCACACTCTTCCATGCCTGAGATGGTCTAAAATCATCGTCATTGCAGTGGAAAAAGATGCGGCGTCGTCATGCAATACATACCTTGTGAAGCTGCTGGAGACAGGAAACGATCGTCTTAGCTCGGGAGTCTAGCTTAACAGTGTCATTCGCAAAACCATTTGACGCTGTGGACGACGCTCACCTCGGCCACTGCGCCACCCCATTCGAGAAGTCGTTCAAATATTGCGCGGGAACGGCCCAATCGATCGAGAATGTGCGCTCGCGACGAAACAATTTGTTGCGCTTGATATAAAACTTCTGTCAGGTTCTCCCAACGCTGCGCATTTCTCAGTCAACGAGGTCCTGATATTGAGGACGGCGCACCAAAGACAAGCTCAGTTGTGGAAGGCCGGCGAGCGAGTGCCAGACTTGATGGTTCGATGGCTGCAGCTCGTCAAGAGCCGTTCTGAGCTCAGCCATGGTAAATGGCTCAAAGTGAATCGTAGTCTTGAAGGGCCAAAACCAAGATTTGAATGGCCACGGTCGTCGAACGAGGCAGAGTCGATGCTCAGAGTCTGGTTTAAGACAACTGGTGCCCGGATCAGACATCATGGTGGCACAGTAAGAGAACTCACAGCGTCGGAGGGAGGACAATCACGCTAGGAAATGAGTCTGGCGCGCCCTTTATCGTGTGCTCTGTAATGACCTCGCCGTCTGCGCAAATCTCGATACCAAAATAATGCGGAAATCGGAGAATGTCAGCGGTTTCGACGCGAATTTCTAAAGAGGTCAGATCCAAGGGACGGGCGTGATAATCCATGTACCGTCTATACGCACAGATCGTCTGCCAGTGTGATTTGAGAAACGAGTTAATGGTAGAGACCGACTTACCCATCATCTCGTTTGAATAATTCGAAATCAAATTCGAATCCGTTATCCTTGCCAGGGATTCAGGAACAGCACTGGCGGAATAAGGCCGGACGTACCTTGATTTCCGTCACTTTCAATCTGACCTCGAGCTCCTTCAACGAGCTGCTCTCCGCAAGGCCCCCGAGCAGTGCCAATATGGAATCCAACGAGAAGCTCCGAGTATTGTGTGCAGGCGATGGCACAAATGGGAATCGAATTCCGGGACGAGGAATGGCCAAAATCGTCAATGTGGAGGTGGGGAGGATTCTATAATGAGCTCAGTAACAACAGGAGCTCCGAAAACGGCTCTTTTCACAGAATTGGCGACTTCAATATCAACCGGCAGAAAGACTTGGGATCCAAGACAACCTCGCGAGCGGGCAGTCCGCCCACAGAAATTTTACATAAGACCACACTCTGTATAGATGGATCGATTGAGACGGCTGGTTGATTGTTAGAGTGGTGAGGGACGGGGAAATGGCCCATACCAACGAGGGCAAGCCGTTCGACACGAGAAGGCCGCGACCTAGGAAGGTGAACGGATGGGAAAGAAGGCAACAGACGACTCACCCCTCCGAAAGCCCTCCATCCATTCTCACTCTCCTCGGCGGCATGGATGACTTGACCCACAAGTCGACAGCGGACAGTCACAGGAAATGAAGAAAAGGGTGGTGCGTCACTGTCGACGGGTCAGAGTCGCGCAATGAGCGGCAATTGCGCGGAGTGATGGTGGTACGGAGAGACCTGAGCCTGTGTAAGGAGACTAGCAGCCACGAGGAGAGTCTTCCTCACGAGATTCACCGCTCTGTGCGTTCTTTCAGGCACAATGTAGTAATCCACTATGTAATGTGTTGAGGATGGAGGTGGAAGAAGAGAGGGCGCAGAGGAGCAGAGGAGATAGAAGAAGAGTATGAATTTACTACTGCTATTACATTGGTTTATATAGTAGGTAGATTTGTTCTAGCAATTTCTAGCAATAGTGAGCAAGATGAATAAGTAGAAACAGAAAGAAACTCGGGGAAGGTCCGGAGCGGCCGGGCTGAATAAGCGCCGGCCGGCGATGCCATTCCCAACACTCCCCCTCAAGCGCGAGTCCCATCGAGGCGGCGGCGTGACGTCGAGACGGGTCGCGATTGAAAGGTGGTGATGGAGAAGAGTTGAGTCCGTGAGTAGGGGGGCATATGGTGGAGATAACAACTGAATCTTCATTTAGAAGACTGTGTTGCCCGATGGAGTCGCCGGTGAGTGCGTATGTCTGTGTGCTTGACGCGGGCTTGCCGGATGGAAGGAAAAACTCCCCCTGGAGTGAAGTTGGGGGTGTCCGTGGCCTTGGTGCGGTCGCAGACGATGCGAGCGCGGTAGATTGTGTCATCGGCGTAGCGCTTGGAGCGGTAAATCCAGCGGCAGTTGGGGATGTGTGTGGAGTCCGGGGTAATAAAGCCGGTGGCTTGCGCGTGAGCGACTTCAATATCCATGGCAGTACACCATTTGAGCCAGTCTGGCCGGGTTTTGGCCTCGGCGTAGCTAAGTGGATCGGCGAGCGGCGCCGTGGCAAGCTCAGCGAAAGCCTGAGGTTTGGGCGGGGTGGAAAGCTCCCCCTTGAGCTGGTACGGCGGCGCGGGAAGATCGGCGATGGGGATTAGAGGCGGCAGGGGTGGACTGACGGCAAGAATATAGAGGCCGTTGGTGTTGGTACCACGCAAGAGTTCGCGGCAGTCAGGAGCGGGCGTGAAAACGCGGACGTGCGGGCCGGTGAATTCGACCGTGTAGCCGTTGTTAGTAAGCCGTGGTATGGAAAGCAAGTTGAACGGCGCGTCTGGGACGTGTCGGACGTCGGTCAGAGTGACCAGGGAGTCGGGTTGGGTGTCAGTTGTGAGCGGGACAGTGCCGCGGCCGTGGCTGGTAGTGGTTCCGAGGCCGGTGATGGTCTCAGCGTGTGGGGTGCATCAGGAAAATGACAAGATCTTAGAGGGGTCTTAGAGAAGATCTTATTTCATCTTATTTGTCTTAGGAACTTATATAAGATCTTAGACCATCTTATGCATCTTATACATCTTTTGAAAGATCTTATATAAGTTCCATAAGCTCTTATGTGTCTTTGCTAAGTGTCTTCTAAGATGAATTAGACATTCTCTAATAGACAATATGTCTTATATGTCTTATCCAAGATCTTATAAAAGGTTCCTAAGCTCTTATGAATCTTTGTTAAGTTCTTTTCTAAGATGAACCAGAGTCAGCCTTGATCATTTTTGCTGACATTTCCAAAGTTCATAAGTACAAATATTTCAGTAGTCAAAAGGCTGTTTCATGAGCATGATAGTCTGCATATTTACTAATATAGAATGATTGAAAGGCATCTAATGAGTCAGATGCATCAAAGTTGTCCTCTGGCACAAAGCCTTGCCCAAAGACTGGTATCAAATGTGCTGCCCTGTAAATTGCATCAATGTGAATGACAGCAAGGTCTGCTTCCCGCCTTCGGTGACGATCAGGAGTCACGATCCACATGCCAGTGTCTTCATCAGGTTCATCCCCATATAGTGAAAACCAATGCACTAGAGCACATGGATACAATGTGTCATGGTGTTTGAATTGGAAAAAAGAAGAACCCGACCAATGTGGAATCCGAGCATCCCAGGAGCATCCCGGTCATGGACCACAAATGCGCAATCATAGCGTGGTGGACCTTTGAACCATGATCGTGCAGAGCGAATCCGCTCCCGTCGCATTCCACCGATTCCGCATATATCACTTGGAGCATAGAAGATGGATTGGGCGGAGTTGTAGGTGTAAATCTTGCCATCAATTGATGGTAGATCACTGGCATCAACCTCCCCATCATAGTCAGGATAGAGCTGGCCAAACAGGAAGTGCTGAACTAGTTCAGGAAAACGTGGTTGGCCAAGGTAGCTGGCCAACCCTGCCAAATCCCGAGGAACACGTCGAACTGACATAATTATAAAAACCGCTAAACTCTAAAGAGAGAGCTTACTGTAGCGCTTTGCCAACTTGACCTCCCCATCAAATCGAGGACCCTCCACTACTTCATCATCATCTAGGTCAGGCAGAGCTTCCCTGACAGGATTATTGGCCGCCAGGTCAAGAGGAGGTAGAAGGGGGATCAACGCGCCAGAGAGCATACCACGGCTAGCAAAGTCGACCCGGGCATAGTGAAGCTTGTCAAGACGCTGGTTCGTCAAGAGCATTTGACTCAATGGTTGATTATGGTTGGATCTTCGATATGGCTTTTTGACAGCCTTAATATGCTTTGATTCCGTGATTGATGAACAGAGGCCATTTGGAGCCCCAAACATGCGAATTCGGGGGACATAGTGTTTTGTTGAATGCTGCCGTGGTAGAGAGAACCCCTCCGGTCGGACGTCACGAAACACTTCACGAGTATCCCAAAATTTCGCCAGACTAGATTCAGCTGCACTGAGTGTATCTTCATCAAGGACTGATCGTCGAACAAGATAGCAGAACTCGGTGAAATGTGCAACCGCTTGCACCATCTGACTTGGAACGCGGCCCGCAATGGCTGGGAGGAATACCTATTCAGACTGTCAATATTTTTCTGTTATGAATTGAAAACAATGACCTTCATCAACCCCTTAGAGTCATCACCTGTCCACTGTTTGAAATTGCGACCTTTTGGGAAATTACGCAGCCCAGTAAATGGTGGTGTGATTGCGATTCTATGACTTAAGCTTAATACGGCCTGATACACCATAAATAAATAAATATCATACCGTCGGTCAATGTCTGCCAGAATACGTTCACCATCTGATTTGTCATACATTTGCTGAATATACTCGACAATCCAATCGACTAAATGGTCTTTGAAAGTTCCCTTGATGAGTTGATGGAGTAAATCCACAGAGATCAGCTCATGAATGTCCGCTCGGGGGAAGTCATCAGTGAATGGCTTTAAGCTTGTCAATTGTGCAAATGCCACAGTCAGTTACGCTCACAATGATATCGGCCACCACACCAAACTCATCCCACAGCTCCTTTACCGTCAGTGACGCATCTAGAAGGGCTTCCGTATGCTCCTTGCACCGATGTGCACTTTGTTTATCCAGATCATCAGGAGGAGACAAACAGCTTCAAGTAGTCTCAATCAGCTAATGATATCATAAGACAATAAGGGCAGTCTTACATGGGACACCACCCCTGAACGATACAAGCATATAGTGCTTGTTCTGGATAGTCGGCGATAACTGGACCAAAGCCATATATTGCGCGTCGGAAGTGACGATCAGCACAACGTGTAACTCTGGCTGTTGTCATATAGGGCTTGAGAATACTGAAAATCCGGGCCAAAGATGCATGGAAAAGCTGCCGCCGAAATTTGCGGAAATCTACACTCCCGGCATGTTGGCGCGTCGCTGACAATGTGTCAAATGTATCGTTATTCAAGCAACTCGGAAGTACTTTTGGGAATAGCTAAAAATCCAAGCAACGAGACACCCTCCCGGTGTGCCCGACGGGCTGACCCATGTAGATTCCCAACTCCGCCATATAAAGGATAGAACTCTGTGTTCCCGGTGCCAACTGACACACAGGTCTTGTCACTGCCAATGACGACAGGAACAAACATTGCCCCATGATTCTCCTCGTTCTGGGCTATTTCGTCCCTGGATAATACAAGTCAGACCTGATATCATGCAGATTGGGGACGTACCGCTTGCTGCCAAGCCCAGTTACCCGAAAACAGGTCAGTATACTGCCGTTTATCGTTCTTGAAGATACGCTTCGGCGCCCAGTCGAGCTCGTCTTTGAAGTCCGGGTTAGCGAGCTGCTTCTCGAAAACGGCCAAGGGCGACCGGAACCAGACTTCGTATTTGTCGGTCATCCAAGTTGGTACGTTGGTGGCAGGGCGAGGACCCGTATATTGCACCGCGAACGATTCCCATGGGATGTCTCCCTGCGGCAAGTCGTCAATTCGAGCGTACAGCTCGCGGGCATCGGCAAATGGAGGGGGACGATCAGGGTACAGTGCCGCCATTAGTTGCATGAGCTGGTCGATATTGTTGCCCGACATCTGGTCACGGATATAGAGGAAGTCCGCAAATTCGAAAGCTGCACGGTTGTCGAAAGACGCGAAGTCGTCGGGCTCGCGATGGTCCCAGGACGGCGCAGGTGCGCCTAACGGTAGATCATACCCATCGGCGTCGCACGGAGTGCCTGAAACACAATGTAAGCCCATGTAATTCGTTGTGCCGCCCTACATACCGTCTAAAATCGGGTGTTTCTCGATTTTTACATTGCTTTCGACAGTAGGCGGCGACGACGAGCGGGAGGGTGGATCCGAGTTATGATCAGGGAGATCGAAATTGGCTGGGGGCGGCGACGATGAAGGCTCTGGGCCAGGAGCATCGGAGCTTGGCGCGATCGATGGATCGTTGCTGGGCTCCAGATCGCCGTGAATAGCTTCGATGTGCTGCGTCCGGCCGCGATAGCTGAGAAACAGCTGGGGACAGTGGGGACAGGGAATGTTGCGTGCTTTGAACGCCCTAGATTTCGGCGGCATATTGTCGTAGGTAGTTGGAAGCAAGAGGGGTCGGAGTTGGTGCCCGAGAGGCACTGCAGGCCATCATCATGTGGCACCAGCTGCGCGTGATCGCCAAGCGTTTTGACTTGCAAATTTTGCGAAGTCGTCACTCGCAGCAGGACTGTAGCTCTTCCTCTCCCTTCCATGGCGTGGAGAGCCTCGTCTCAAATCGCCCTCCCGCCGGTGAATTCGACCGCTGTGACAGCCACACCGCCTGCAAAACCGCCTGCAAAACCCCCCAAAACCCAAGGAAATCGTCCTCGACCCGAGATCCCTGGCGGAATGACTTTGCGCGACTCCAGAGTGAGCGCTGCGAAGCCAGATATGCCCGCGGCACGGCGTTCTTCGACTGTAGTTGCTGCGGAGAAGCAACAGAAGGCCGCCCACAAACGAGTGTTGGCTGACCAGCGCGAGAGCAAGGCCTCGTCAACGTTGCGGAGGTCGAGAAACGGAGTCTCGCCGAAGCGAGACGTCAGGCAGAGACGGGGGACCACCCTTCGTCGGATCCAGGAAGGGAGAAAGTGTCCCGCACCCGGCCTGCTGACGCAAGCGGTGAGTAATACTTCAGCCATAAACAACCTCAATGCTCACTTTTTGGCTAGACATCATTCACTCCAACGGTGCTTCGGACGACGAAGAGAGCAGCGGCAACAACTCGGAGTACCGGCCACAGCCTGAGACTGCCATGTCGGTAGACTCGTCAGGCGACGAACACAACGAGCAGCTCATCATGGATCCTTCCGATGACGAGCTCCGTCTTGTGGAGACACCACGCCGTAAGAAAACCAAGAAGACGAAGGGGCGACACGCGCCGTAAGGTGGACAAGCTCGTCCGCGATGCGATGGAAGTCGACCAAACGGATGGCCGCAAGCGAAAAGCGGACAGCGATGCGCGCGTGTAGGTCGTTATGTCGCCCAGTCTCCAGTCTAATTTGTTGGCAGGCCGATTACTGCAGTACAGGGTAAGAAGAAGAAACCCAAGACCACCAGCGGCATCGATCCGAACTGGGAACCAGAGAGACGGTCCGGTACACCTCAAGGCGGGAGGGGCCATGGTCGTTCAGCGTCAACAGGCTCTGTCTTCTCGGCGACAGGTGGCGCGCGCTGCTGGAGGTGGAAGACGAGCCCATTGCGAGCTTCGCGTCTGATGACGATGAGGAAGAAGAGAAGCGCCACGCATCCGTCACACACAACGCCCGGCAAGCTCAGAAGAAGGTGAGCTGTCAACCGGCTTTGACTCAGCGCTGACATATTACCACACTTTTCCTTAGACCACATCGCTCGCTGGTATCGTTGACGTTGACGAGCCCCAATTCGTCTCGCCGGCAGACCGTGCCGTCATTCTCAGAAAGAAGAAGAACGCGGATATTAACCTTAGTGATCTTCCGCCCGACCTTCGCAAGGTCTTTGGAGGATATGGCACCGCACTCGTCAGCTATTCGGGCTATCTTACCGGCTGGGACACGCTCAACGGCGAAAATACGATTGCCTACTTCAACCAATGCCTTCCGGCCTTCCCGCTCTCGTACAAGAAGCCGAAGGACCAGCATATGGTGCAGGTGGTCCTCAAACTCGTGTGTCGTTTGAATAGCCTCTTGCGTATCATCTAATGATTTTCAGAGCCGCGACCGAATCTACAATCTCCGCACTATGCTCGGCTCTGCGGCCGTCGACGCCGTCGATGCTCGTATGGCTGGCAAGACCTCCGCCGAGATGAAGGCCGATGTCGAATACCTTCTGAGCCGCGTTGCGCACGACGACAAGAGGGAATACCTTGTCTTCTTCTACAAGAGTGTCAAGCAGCACATCGACGAAACGGGCCCGGGCCCGGAGCCCAAAGTCACATACTCCCATCGAAAGGTATGCTTCGTTTCTGTGTCGTAGCATCTGCTGATCATTAACGAGGGACTTATGCTAAATCCCCTCATCTTGCAGACGCTTGCAGCGTATTGTAAGCTTAGCAAGTATGACGATGGCGGAATAGGGCCCCGGGAAGATATTCCTGGTATCGAAGGGGAAGGATTGTTTCCAGGTGGGGCATTGGCGATGTCTCTGCAGGCGGTGAGCTCCTCAGTGGTGGCTTGCATCTGCTAACTGTGTCTCAGATACAACGTGCGCTCTCACTTTATGTGACGGGCAAGCGAATTCCTCCCCTTGGCTCTCGCCAAAATAACGGCCTACCGAAATTCGACAAGGAGACATGGGGCGACCGGGTGGTGAGGGGGGTTATGCAGGGCATTAGTCGGATTCATGCCGTGGTGGATCTGCTTACACCAGCGCATTGGGCGGACATCTTGGAGGGGGCACAGAGCGCAGCGGTGACTTCTCGCTCCCGCAAAGTCGCCGAGGCAGAACCTGAAGGAACGCAGGATGTGGAGATGAGTCTCGCCCCGATTGGCCTGGTCGAGGATGATGACTCTGATGATGAGGGTGAAGTCGCACAAGCCGGGTCGTCATCGTAAATCTAGTCTACTATGAATACAATTATGCTTTCTGTCAATTTCAATGGGTCTCTTTGAGTGCTTATGGGGTCTTTTGTCTGTCTTATTTGCATCTTAGAACAACTTATCTTTGGTCTTAGAACAACTTATTCTCCGTCTTAGAACAACTTATTCATCTTATTTGACTTACATTAGAATTGGACCTAGCTAACATAAGACCCATAAGATCTTATGAGTCTTATGCATCTTATGATGTCTTATTGAAACTTATTTGTCTTTTATAAGTGGAATAAGTTGCATTAGACCTTTTGACATTTTCCTGATGTGTAATGGGAGAACAAGTCGCGGCTGTTCGTGATGTGCTGGGTGGTGCCGGAGTCGGCGATCCACGCGTCGGGCGGGTATGGCCGTGTTAGTGTCGAGTGCCGTGAAGGCGTAGTTGGCAGTTTCTACAAAGTTAGCTTGGTCGTTATCACGCTGATTGTCGCGATTGTCGTTGTTGGGTTGATAAGAACGAGGGCGGCTGTTGCGCTCGTTGCGGTCTTTCTCGGCCTGAGTAAATGTGATGCCGCGGCGGGTGTCGTTGCAATCTGGCTTGATGTGGCCGTGGCGGCCGCATCCGAAGCAAGTGACGTTGGGATTGAATGGCTTATGGGGCGGCTTGTTCGAGGTATTGCGGGCGGCTAACGCGACCTCATCAGAGTTCGGCTTAGCAGTGCGGCGGCGGTTCTGTTCGAGGATGCGGGCAATAAGTTTGGTGGACGACGTGAGAGCGGCGGTGTCGATCCCGGAGATGAAGGTGTCCCAGGAGTCAGGTAGCGATGTAAGTAGCGTGATGGAGAACTCGTTGTCGGTGAGTTGCGAGTTCTGGCCGGCAAGGCGTGTGCGGAGGTTAGTAAGCTTGCGTATGTGTTCCTCGATGCTGCCGCCTTCGGGGCATGAGAGGCGGAACAGCTGGCGGCGAAGAAGCACGATGGCGATGACGCCTTTCGGCTGGTAGGTGTCGGCAAGCGTTTGCCAAGCTTCGGCGGCGGTGGTAGCAGCGGTGACGTAGACAAGCGGATCGTCGGTGATCCGGAGGCAAATTTGGGACAGGGCCTTGCGGTCCTTGACGTCCCAGGCAGTGATGGCGGCGGCAGTGGTACCTTGGGGGTCGACAATACTCCCCTTGTCATCAAGTTTGTGCTCGGGGCGGAGCGCGGTGCCCAGGGCATGCTCAAGATAGCCAAAGTCGGTGAGTATGTCCGTCATCTTGACGGCCCATGTGGCGTAGTTGTCCTCACCAGTCAGGTGATGGATACGGTAAGCGGAAGCGGCTTCGGAGGCAGACATGGCGGAGAAGCAGTGTGGTGGTTAGCGGCAGGTAGCGGGTGGCGCGGCAAGCGGTGCGCGAGATAAGCAAGTATGGCGGCAGGTAAGCAGGTGGCAGATGCGCAGCGTGCGCGGCAGTAGCGGTCAGTGGCGGTGCGCGGTAAGCGTGCGCGGCGAGTAGCGGGTCAGTTGTGCGGCAGTGCACGGCAGTGGTAGTGGTCAGGCGGTTGCGCGGCAGGCGTGCGCGGTAGCAAAAAGCTGGTGGTAGCAGATAGGCAGCGTGCGAATAGATCGCGGTGGTGGCAGATGCGTGATAGAAGCAAGATTCCGGCGGCGTGTGATACTCGGGCAATTCAGTTATGGCCGGGGCCCATAACCTGTTGAGGATGGAGGTGGAAGAAGAGAGGGCGCAGAGGAGCAGAGGAGATAGAAGAAGAGTATGAATTTACTACTGCTATTACATTGGTTTATATAGTAGGTAGATTTGTTCTAGCAATTTCTAGCAATAGTGAGCAAGATGAATAAGTAGAAACAGAAAGAAACTCGGGGAAGGTCCGGAGCGGCCGGGCTGAATAAGCGCCGGCCGGCGATGCCATTCCCAACATAATGGACGGGATTGAGAGCTGCTCGCGATCGAGGGAGATGCCAGTGTGTGGGAGAGTATGCAGCTGGAAGTGGCGTGCAGAATAGCCTGACCGAGCTGGCGTGGCCGACATACATGGTGGTCGGGAAGAACAACCGGCAATCAACGAAGATCCACGTCACAGAGTCACTCCTTCACGTGGATGTGACACCTCACGTCATGCTCTCCCCCCTAGTGCACCACATCTGCACCACCGCGATCCGACCGCTTTCTGCTCGTACCGCCGCCAAACCATGTGGCCCACGCTGGGATAGAACCATCCGCCGTTCCTCAAACTCACCCAGAAACTCTGCTTTACCGCTCGACGGCGTACGTGTGCTAGAGCTTGGGCAGCTTATTGCGGGGCCCTTCGCTGGTCAACTCCTCGGGAATGTTCTCATATTCACTGCTCCCCACACTCAGCTCACGTCTCTCAGGCAGTTTGGCGCGGAAGTCATCAAGGTAGAGCCTCCGAAGAAGGGCGACCCACTTCGAGTCTGGCGTGAGCTGGATACTGACGGCTGTAGCCCGTGGTTTCGGAGCATCGGGAGGAACAAGAAGAGTGTTGCGGTCGATCTTCATACGGAGCAGGTGTTAGCGCATGGAGATGCGCATGTGACGAGCGAGCGCACATGGCGGTTATGTCATATGATATGTATGTATGGATAGTATATAAAGGCCTGGTGGAGAACGGATTCTCCACCAGTTGTACCCCTTCTACAGTGTCCCGCGTGATCGCTGGTAGGCTCTTGGCAACGGATCTTTAACACAACTGGTCAATATCACCTTTCGGCGCCTGGATCATTCTTGCGCTGGTTTACATCTTGGATCTCTCTCACGCTCTTATCTCGTACGACATGTCCTCGGATACTACTGTTCTCGATAACCGCTCGTTGGTCGTCCTCAAGGAAGGAAACTATGCCGAGTGGGCTATTCGGACGCGGGCCCTATTGATCCGGCGGAAGCTGTGGACTCAAATTCAGCCGCGGATCACGATTCCGGCCAACACGAAGGAGGAGGACGAGGAGTCAGTGGCGGCTACGCTGCTGCAGAAGGCGTTGGAGGTGAGGGATCCGGAGAAGATGGAGGAGGCGCATGCGGAGCTAGTGCTTTGCGTCTCGGCGTCTCAGCTGGTTCATTTTGGAGACGAACTCGACCCGCGGCTGGTTTGGCTTGCGCTAGAGGGTATACATCGCGTTCGCGGGTTGGCGGCTCAGCTCGCGGGGAAGCGGAAATGGTTGGGCATGGTGAAGGGTGAGTCGGAATCGATGCTGGAATGGATTGGTCGGGTGATGGATGCGGCGGCGGAGCTCAAGCTGATTAATGCGCCGCTCAGCGATCTCGACATTATCCTGGCGCTCACGAATGGGCTGGGGTCGGACTTCAAACCCCTGGTATTTGCGATCGACGGACTGCCTGGCGATGACTTGACGGTCGCCAACGTCAAGAGTCGCTTGCTCAGCTGGAAAATTATCGACGGCGGACATGGGTCGTTGGATGGCGGCGCGTCTTCGGCACTGCTGGCTAGAGGTGGTGCGGCGAAGGGGCGGGGCTGCTTTAAATGCGGCAAATTCGGCCATATCCGGAAGAACTGCCCGGAGAACACGAAGGGTGGTGGGAATGGCGGCGCTGCGGGACTTGCAGCGGGAGGTTTTGCTTACGCCTGGTAGGTGTGTCTCGCTCGTGGGGAAGTGTTAGCGCATGGAGATGCGCATGTGACGAGCGAGCGCACATGGCGGTTATGTCATATGATATGTATGTATGGATAGTATATAAAGGCCTGGTGGAGAACGGATTCTCCACCAGTTGTACCCCTTCTACAGTGTCCCGCGTGATCGCTGGTAGGCTCTTGGCAACGGATCTTTAACAGCAGGGCCAAAGGTGCGTCCAACTCCCACTGACTGCATGAACTTTCCTTACATTTGTCTCGCAGCATTGTCCGCCAGCTCGCAATCCGTTCTGACGTTCTCATCGAAAACTTCAAGCCCGGCAGTACGCCTACAATCCCCTACAGCTCACCGAGTACTCACAATGCTACCTCGACAGCGCTTGAGAAATGGGACCTCCATCCAGCGGCTATCCACCCCTACAATCCTGACCTCATCTACACCCGTGTCAGCGGCTATGGCCAAACGGGGCCCTGGGAGCCTCGTCCAGGATACGCTTCAGTATGCGAAGCCGAATCAGGCTTTCGCTACATCAACGGATTTCCTGACGAGGCTTCTGGGGCCCTCAACGGGCCACCAGTTCGTCCAAACATCAGCCTGGGAGACTCGGTAGCGGGATTGCATGCGGCATTTGGTACTGTGGGTATGCGTATCCGCACAGGAATCAGCTCATGTGGCCTCTCGCACAGGTTTTGGCTCTTCTACAAAGACAGCGCAAGAAAGAAGCTGGGGAAGCTGGAGGGACGACGGTCGACGTTAGTATTCTTGAGAGGTACCACAAAGTTCCGAATCATCGTCTACTCCGCGAACTGAGTATGACAGTATGCTCAACCTGATGGAGGGTATAATCCCGGAATACGACCGCAAGAGCAAAGTGAGTGACAAATCTTCCTCACGTTTTCAAGTTTGCTGACAACTTGAATCACAACTCTCCTGTCAGATTCGCGGCCCTTCTGGATCTTCTGTGACCGGCATCGTTCCGACCAACGCATATCCGTGTCTTCCCGCCTCGTCTTCCTCAACGACCCCCGTATACATCGTCATTGGCGCCAACGGTGACACGCTTTATGCCCGATTAATGCATCTCATTGGCGCCCCGCATCTTGCTTCACCCCAGTATGCTCAGAACCACCAGAGGGCTGTCCCCGCCGCTCAATCTGCTATCGAAGAGGCCATCCGGGCCTGGACCAGTGTCCGAAGCACAACGGACGTCGAACAGGCATTGGAGGCCGCAAAGATCCCAGTCGGCAGGGTAGTCAATGTGAAAGACATGGTGGAACAGGGAGAGCAGCTCCGCGCACGGGGTGCCATCCAAGATGTCTGGGTGCCGTCCAAGGGCGAGGATGGGTGGAGCGTCAAGATGCAGGGGACGTTCCCTGTTCTTGAAGGGTGCGAGGCCAAGCCGCGTTGGGCTGGCCCAGATCTCGGAGCGCATACTGGAGACGTGCTTGGTGGTCTTCTGGGCTTGTCGGAAGCGGAACTACAGAGGTTGAAGGAGAAGGATATCATTGGATGACGGATTCATTAGTGGGAGCATTACAAACGCCGCGCATGAGCGCGCATGCTGTCCCAAGGCTTGGCTTACGAACGATCCTTGGTCACATGCCCTGAATTTAGCCTCCGCAGCTTGAGAAGGAAGCTGGGCACGAATGAGTCAGCCTGTCGGCCGAACTCGGTGTCCGCGTCTGCACGATGTTTGGTAACACAACAATATATAAGCAGTCAAAACGTCCTTCCGTACGAACCTCCATCGTAGAAACGTACAATGAGCAAACAGTCGACCCCTTATCCTCCCACCATGCGTGCCATCGTCGTCTCCAACTTCGGCCCCGTGGAAACATCTCTCAAAATGCACACACTTGTCCCTACCCCCTCTCCCGCACCAGGCCACGCAATCATCAAAATCAAAGCATTCGGCGTAAACCATGCGGAGATGCACATGCGGCGCGGGGAATGGGCGGAGAGCATGCCTATTATCGGCATCGAGTGTGTCGGCGTCGTCGTCTCTTCCGAAGGGGATGCGCTGAGGCCCGGCACCCCAGTAGCCACCCTTATGGGCGGACTGGGCCGGACCATCAACGGCAGCTACGCCGAATACACCTCCGCCCGGCTGGAGAACATCGTCCCCCTCCCGCATGACGTTGTCGGTAGCCTCGGATGGGCACGACTAGCCGCGCTTCCGGAGACATACGCAACAGCGTGGACATGTCTCTTCCGGAATCTCGACCTGCAGGCGGGAGAGACACTCCTTGTGCGTGGCGCGTCGAGTGCGTTTGGCCGGGCGGCAATCGCCCTGGCGCGGGAGAAGGGCGCTGTGGTCATGGGGACGGCCCGTTCCTTATCGCGATCCCAAAATCTCCTCGCAAGCGGTGTGCAAGAGGTCCTCCTCGAGCCACTTGTGGCCACTGGCACGCAAGGCAAATTTGACAAGATTTTGGACCTTGTCGGCAACTCCACCGTCCTCAGCTCGGTCCACTTGGCGCGCCGCGACGGGCGGGTGTGTCTTGCGGGCTGGCTCGGTGGGCTCGATAGTGTCGAGTTCAACCCGCTGCTGCAGAAGATGAGCAGCGGCGTACATCTGTCGTTCTTTGCAAGCTTTGCTTTTGGCGAGGAGGGCTTCCCGCTGAGCGACGTGCCGTTGACGACGATTGCGCGGCTGGCGGCGGAGGGAAAGTTGGATGGGGCAGCGCCGAAGCGCACTTGGAGGTTTTCAGAAGAAGAGGTACAGGAGGCGCATCGCGTTATGGAAAGGGGGGAGGCAGGCGGAAAGATGGTCGTCGTTGTAGATGAAGAATTGCAGTAAATAAGTCGTGACAGAGGCATACATGTCAATTCAAAGTGGTTCTCTATGGATATTCACCGGTTAGAGAGTGGTGCAAACAGAAGAGCAAAACACGCACTTCGGTGGACAGTGGTAATCCATTAATATTGACATTGTTATCCGCACTGGGGTCTTCTTTCACATATGGGGGAGGAGGAGCGTCTCCTACCGGCGCATCTTGACCTGGCAGCACTGCGGCGGAATTGAGCGTAGCAGGCCCATCTGGGGACTCTCCGCCGCTCCCATCCGACTCTGAGGCTGGTCGTATACCCGTCTCGCTGTCGGTCACCTTCACCCGTCGACGGCGACGGATGATACCGACTATCACAAGCGCGCAGAAGGCTGTAGCTGCGAACATTACATCAGCCTGCAGCTCAGGCTCGCATTAGACTGCAAGGCTCACCGAGTATAACACCCAAGATGATCTGTTCAGTCCTACTCGCGCGCCGCTGATGGGGGCGGTCGTTGTTGGCCGAGTTGTCTTGCGCGAGTGCGATGCTCACGCTAGCGCTCACAGCAAGGATGCGCAGGAAGAAGAGCGAAGTAAAGGAGGCCATTGTGTGGTAGGGCTTGGCCGAACCGCCGGATATTTATACGAGTCATCGTCGAAAAACGAGGGTTGCGTCATCGGTGTTTAGAATAGGAGACGGGAGTCTTGAGTCTGGGTAAAAACGCTGGGCAGAGCATAAGGCTGGACGTTGGAAGGAAGAAGATGTGGGACAAGAGGCTCGGCGTTTTACGGAAGTGACGATGATCCGACGTGACGCATGATGACGAATGCCATCAAAGAGTCAACAAAGTGTGACGCTGATGTAATGCGACCTGCTGCGGCTTGCCTTCGCTCATCCATGGTCGCCGACCTTTCGCTTCCGAATCGCGACCGACATCAGCGCCTGCTGAACGTTTCGGTTTCCTATCCGCTTGAACATGCATCCGAAAGAGTTGGGGGCCGAGAAATGAACACTGCTCGCTATAAAAGATGCTCGGCAGGCATTGGAATCGCTCAGCAACTCTACTGCAATGCGCTACCGCATACTTGCTGGCTTTCTTGTCTGCTCTTTCACAGCGGTCACCGCCGCGCCTGTACGGCTTTCCCTCCTTGTTATAAAGGACTTGACTGAATGAATCACCCAGCAAATACCCGGTCCGCCTCAGGCCCTACCGCCCACCGCATCTGCGGTCGGCGTGGCTCCACCCAAGTCGAAGCCAACTCCAGGCGTCGGGTTCCCACAGCGTAGCGCAGCGATCCTCCTTCCGGCGATGAACTCGGATACGCAGCTCTGCCCCAAGCTCAAGAAGGACGAGGTGACGCTTTGCGGCCGGCTCCAGCCCGCGGACGGAAATGCAATCGTCCTATCTGCCAATAAGACTATTCTTGACTCGCTCGACGACAAGCCGCTGTTCATCCCCAGTTACGTGAGTACAATGTCCAGCCTTCAACCTCTTACCTATACCCAGTTCTACATCTACTACTCGCCCCCCGCCGCTGCCCTTCCTCGGCCCCAAGAACGACCTCTATCTCTTCAGCGTGGTCCCCTCCGGCGCGACCACGGCTGCATCCGTGGGTGTCACGGATACAACTCCCGTTCGTTGGTTACTCGCCCACGATTGTGTTGCTTTGCTGACAGCGCGACAGAACAGCACCGTCATATGGACGCCGAACGAGGCCATCACACACGTCAACCAAGCCGCATACCTGTGGAGCATCCACCACGAGGACCTAGAGGCGGAATGGCCGAGCATGCTCACAGCCGCCGGCATCCGCGTAAGCCGCCCTTCATTCACTGCACAACTTCTGATGGCCGCGCAGGTATGCGACGCGGACGAGTCGCTCTGCTGGACGAGCGCCCCCGGCCAAGCCGTGCGTGCCCCCTTTCCTACCGCCACTGTGCCCCTTTGTCATGCTTGTTTCAGCTCTTTCTCGATGCGCCGACCGCCGGCACGCCGCGCAAAGACCAAGTTTTTCTGGTGAATTTCCTGCCGCTTGACGTGGACCCAGACCCGGCCAGAGCTGCACAGGATCTTCTCGCGGAGTACGCCGTGGGCGGCGTTGAGGCAGAGGCGGACGATTTGTCGGATGCGGAGGCGGCGGAGACTATGACTGGAGAAGGGCCGGGTACGAAAATCATTTGAACATACGGACAACATACTTCTGCATTTACCTTGCTTCTACCGAGCAGTACATATTCGGGCAAGTATCATAATTGGATTTATCGTGCGGTTTACTGTTCTCGATCACATGTAAGGGACCATTCAGGACTGCCACCATATGTTCCAAAGCAAAACGAAACAGGCAAAGCGTTTAGCGAATGCAGGTGGTGAACTTGAAGTTTACGAGATGGGGCCGATGTGAGAACGCAGCGAGAATTCGAGAGCGATTATTTCAATGGGTGTTATCCCCGGGCTCTGACTGCCACTGCCACCCTCAACAAATGGACTTCCCGCCTGCAGTGCGCGGAAGAGCACTTCATACACCATCTGGGGTGAGTCACTGGCCATTGAGGAAAGGTGGCGGAGGCGCTCGAGGGTGAAGCCGTTCGTGCCAAGGAGCTGGGCATGCCCCGCGAGGTCGAACCCATTGACATTTCGCAAATATTCAACAAGAGACAAAGCATCAGACAGAGACTTGACCGGCGGGGTCGACTGTAAGTTGCTGCTGTTAAAATGTATGTATAGAGAAGAGAGGATACATTGCTGACCGTGGTGGGAGCCTCGAGTTTGGTCAGTGCGAGCTCTAGCATGACGACCTCAAATACGTCGAGATTGATGTGGTTGTCGACTTTGTTTGAGAGCAAACGGCGCAACGCCTCAGAGATATCTGACGCCGCCCACCGGCTCATCGCGTGGAGGCGGGCGACGGTGAAGCCCCGCGCTTCGAACAGGGCAATGTGCGCCGGAGTGGTCATGTTCAGGACCGGGTCAAGGCCAAGCATAGATTTTAGAACATCGGCAAGAAGAGAGGCGTGGTAGGTCTGGATAGCGCCGTGTTTGGGAAGCGGAAGCCGTCGTTTTCTCGGCGTCGATGGACCAGGCGGGGGACTGGCAGGAGGTTCGGAGAGGGATGAGTCCGAATCATATGCATCAAACGCATGGCTATGATAAGGTGTGGGCTGTCGACGCTTAACCTTCTTCGCAGTACTAATATTCGCCTGGGACTTCTTCCTCTTGCAACCGACACCGGCGGAGGAAGCCACCTTGGAGTAAGGTTAGCTCAATACGTCGTCGAAATGAACGGAAACGCACCTCGTCGGAGTCATTCTCTGAGCTTGACGAACAAGTATCCACACATCCCGGCTTCTCGCTCGTGGTCAGTGGCGGAAAAGCCGTTTTGAAGCCGTCCCCAGCGTAGTCGTAGTCATTCGGCAGCTCGTCTTTAGGACAGTGGACATGCGGAAGCTTCACCACGCGGCGGATGACCTTTATGTTGACGCCGAAGATGCGTGCGATACCGGTCAGGGTTCGACCTTGGGAGTACATAATCCGCGCAATCGCTCGTCCTCGGCGATGCAGCGCCTTCCGGCCGCCCCTGCGGAATCGACCATTTGGTGAGTTGGCTGAGTTGGGAGGGCCCGGGCTGAGAGAAAGATTTTACTGACCCGTGCACAGACCCTATCCTACGCGCTACTGGTGCGTTGTTGATGAAGTCTGTGTGGGTCGGTGTGTCCCTCTCGCCGGTGTCGCTCTCGTATGCGTCGCGTGGCATCGGAAAAAAAGACGAAAGTCACAGTGACAGATGTACTGATGATGGGGTCGGCTGCACGGCATAATGACGTCAGCGTTAATATGTCAGACGCTTCTTTTTTTCTCGTCAACCACCATGTCGCTACAGGCAAACCCAGAGCTACAGACACTGTGGGTCTTCATTCGCCCCATAGACTCCCGACTTACACCCGATGTTTCCAGGCTTGGAGTCGCATTCGCCCAGTACAAAACGGACCAGGGGAAGATAAATGCCATTGATTCCGTGCTGCGTGCACTCACTGCGGCGGCCGACGTGCTCAAGGCAGAGCGGAACGCAATTGCGCCAATTCACTCGCTGCCCAACGAGCTCCTGGCAGACATCTTCTACCATGTTCACTCCCCGCCACTGACCTCGCTTATCATCGTCTGTCGTCGCTGGCATAAAATCGCGCAACACACGCCACGGCTCTACGACCACCTGGAGTTCGACTGGATCATCAAACGCGAGCGATTCCAGCGCCAGCTGCAGCTTTCTGGCGGCGTCCCACTGGTCGTGACCATCGGGCGCCTGGACCCCAGCAATAGTACTAGAGCAATTCCGCAGTTGATGCTAAACGCAGGTCGATTAGCGCGTCTCAATATCGGCGCCAGTCTGAGCGTCATGGTGGAGCTCATAGACAACATCTCTCGCCATGATTTCCCCGCACTCTTTGACCTACAACTATCTGTCGCGCGTATTGGGGACGAACTGGATGAATCGGGAAGCATCAAGCCCATTCCACTCCTCCCGAGCCAAGTACTCGACATCCGTATTCCTCGCCTCCGCAGACTTGACTTGGCTGATGTCGAGCCTCCCTGGACGGCCATCCACTCGTTACAATCGCTCAAACTGAGCGCTACTCCGCAGGTGTCACTCACGAATCCACTCGAGTTCAACGACCTATTACAAGTACTTTCGGCTTGTCCGGGTCTGACTTACGTTTACCTTCGACTCCCCATTATCATTGCCGCCGAGCAATACTCCTCGGTTTATCTTCCCCATCTGGAGTTCCTCCACATTCAAGGCCTACCAACCGTCCGTTCTCTACAAAGGTTCCTCCTGCACGTTATCTTTCCGGCTACAACCAGCCTCGATGTGGACTGCCCTGGCGTGTCTTCCGGCAATGACATCCGCGACATTCTCGTTCCCGTCCATAAACGGTTGCGCACAGTCGATGCGCCGGTTGCCCGAAGCATCACCTTCCAACTGTCCGAGCCATATCCCGGCCACATCCGCCCGCTCACGGTGTCAACCAGCACCGAGGCAAACCGCTGGAAAGAGCGTGCCCGCGCAGCCAGCCTCATCTTCTGTATATCCACATATCCTACGACACAGCCGCACACACGCCAAGTCCTGGCAAAAATTCTCAACGCCGTCCCAACTGCAACCATCACGCACCTGTTTCTCGGTAACCGCTTCTTCAGCACGTACCTCTCAAAGTCCGCATGGCGGACAGTGCTCCCTGGCCTCCCCGCGATCGAATGCGTCGATCTCAACGCGGGTGAGGGGTCGACGCCGTTTTGCGCGGCTCTGGCTGCCCTCGTCCGGGCCAGCAGGCCGCCGTTCCCGCTCCGCAAGATAAAGCTCTCGATCATGTATCGTGGGGATGACGAGATTGGGAGTATCGAGCGCTTCGTTGATGCGTTGAGGGAGATGCTGCAGGAATTCCTCGACGCGGACAGGCGAGTGGCAAAGCTGAAGATTAAGGCGAGTCTGTACCACGAAGTCGAATCGGAGGGTGTGGATGGCCGAATTGATGAACTGCGCGGCCTGGTGGGGAGTTTGGACGTGAAACAGGGGTGGTAATCATAGAAAACGCATCAACGCTTGGTATATATATGTGTGTGGCAATTGCATTGGTGAAGCCAACATACTGGGTAATTATAAGTGTTGCGAATTAAACCAAGTTATTCATTTATTCAACTCTTAGGAGTGTAAAAAATAATGCTGGGGGAGGGGGGGTGCTCTAGAAGGCTTAAATCACCTTTTTTTTTGTAGGCTCTAGGGTGGTTGGGAATGTCATTAATGGTCTCAGAATACAAATAATTGTTATTGAAAGGACAATCTCCTTGCATTCTGGGGAAGGACCAAGGATTTTGATAGTAATTTCCTATTTGAGATGTGGTTCAGTTTCTTGGCGGTTATGAAGTATTCCAGGTTTTTGTGGTCGGTCCAAATCAGCGCCTTTCTCCTCTGTTCTATAGATAATGGTGTTGAAATTCCGAGGTGATCCGATGGGATCAAAGTGAGCGAGGAATCTGTTTGCAATCACACTCCGGTTAGGAATCTGTGCGTTAGGGCAAACAATGCCCTACGCTGACTATCTATTCTGTTTTATATACTAGTTATACATTCTTCTAGTATATTCTCAGGGAATCAGGAAAATATCAGTCAGCATAAGGTGGAAAGTGCCAGAACATTCCGGCAAGTCACACTGAGACCATCAAAACTTCAACAAATGGCGCCATTCAGTTCGGGCCCACATAATCACTAGCATTTCCTTATTGTGGATGTTGTAGTTGCGCTCGGTGTCGTTCATGGCCCAGGAGAGAATGCAATAGACACCCAATTCCCTTCTTGCTCTTGCAAGAGGACGGCACCCGTGGCAAAGTCTGTCATGGATAAGACCTGGCCCATCTGCTCCAGCGCTGGTGTCGGGCTGTTGCAGGTCCGCAACACGCAGCACGTGACGACAGGGAACAGACGCCCCAGTAGGAGGAACGCACATGTGGGAAGCACGTGACTGAGAACGACTCGACACCAGGGGACTGGGGAGGAGTGCTAGGAGGTTAGGATTAGTGCCTGGCCCGCAAGGGATGTACGATCGTCCCCTCTGCGGCCAGGAATGGGGGCGAAGAGGAGCAGGAGAGGCCAGGGTGTCCGATCACCCCTTTGCGGGCCCGCATATATAAACGCGCAATAGTGTACCATGTACTGTATCATTTCGATCAACTGTCCGGGTTACGCGTTACGCGGGCCTCTGGACAGGACCCATTTGGGGAGCGTTACGTGTTACAGCCATGTCCGGACAGTAACGGATTTGGTCAAAAGTGGGATAGAATCTCAAAAAAATTTCCCAAGTCTTCAAATTGGCCATTTTGGCTTCAAATTACGTCTAAATGTCTGATTAGAGGCAAAAAATGCACAAAATCTTAGCATTTATCACTGTGGACACGGTCAGATTTTGACCCATTACGCGTTCCCTCGGGCTCTGGACACCTGTTTCTCCGGCCATAGTGCGTTACGCGTTACACCCCCCGGACACTTGATCGAAATAGGACAGTACTCTATCGCTTAGATTGTCTGAAGAACTACTTCTCTCTGTGCAAGGAGGAATAACCGACTTATCAGGCCCAAAACAACCTGATTCGAACCTTCGACCACCAACAATGCCAAGGGACTGAGTTAACAGGCCCCTTCAGTGCTGATCTACCCTGCTCGCTCTGCTTGCAGGCCTGACACATCTGTCTGTTCTGTTCCAGGCGCACGTTCTTGGGAGAGACCTTGCACGGCCTGACCTGAAGTCTGACAGAATCTAAGTGATCCCCTTACGCCCACACAACAGAACACACGAGAGGGAAAAAATATGTCAATTGCAAAAGGGAAAAGTCCAAACAAAAATATAATAATAATAATAATAAATGATACCCACTGGCAATGGCTATGCGCGACCCTTCCCTTTCCGACCGCTGAGGACCCGATGGGGGACCCCGACCCAGGCTGAGTACCCCCAGGAATGGGGCTCGAGCGACTGGCCTGGCAACAATTTGCGGCGGCCCTTTGCTTCCACAAAGCGAGCTGAGCAAACCCCCGAATTGTCCACGGCACCGAAAATGTCCAGCACCCTCCACCATCTGGGCGGCTGGCAATCGGTGCCCCAAGTAGTCGCAAGAATATGTGACCTTGACTGAGGGTGTATATTAATGGCCCATAGCTTACATACAATTAGTGATTTTACTTTTTGGTAATTTTTCTGGTAGCATTGGTCCAAATAAAGTATTTTTCATTTAAAGTTAAATTTACAACGTAACATGTTAGCTACACTATAGTTATCTCGGGTCACGACGCCTTGAAAGGCACGGTGAGATGACTATAGCTACACTTGACTACATCTTGCTACAAATCAGGTGCAGAACTCATGTTGATTACATCGTTGCAACGTCTTCTCAGGCTCTTTGTCAATTAATGCAAAGCAGGGTCTGTCTGGACTCTGGAATGACAAGGAATACCTAGTATGCCGCGGAGCATTGCATGGGATGACTCTTGGGATGACTTGACTGAGGGCAAGAGACTATATTCAGAGACCCAAGTTCACAATATCAATAAGTATATACATAGGAAGCGCCTGAGTTGGCGGCGGCTCTACTGGTCGCCCGGCGCGAGCGCATCGTACGCGGGGCAGAGCGCATTCCACGCCGGCGGCTGCGAGGCCGTGACATGCGGGGTGTCCTCGGCGAAGACGACCGCGAGCCCGCTGTGCCAGGGTCAGCGAAACATGGTCGGGGTAGACGCTTGAGGGGACGACGTACATGTCGAGGTGGAAATCGATATGGCAGTGCAGGAACCACGGGCCGGCGTTGTCGGTGACGAACCGGAAGGTGACGTTGTCGCTATAGCGCGCGCAAGGTCAGTGATAATTCATCGCAGCGTGGAATCCCTACGTGAGGTCGGGGCCCGTCGAGACGACATCGCGGATCGGCTGCGGAACGCGGTGAGCATAACACGGTAAGTAAGAGCACCGCGGAGCGGCTCACGGGGTTCAAGAAGTTGTACGCCGAGCTGCCGGCACTGCGGATAACATGGAAGTTGTGCTATCACAGCCATCATCAGTACCAAGAGCGGAAGCAAGAGAAGGACGCACGCCGTGGAGATGGATCGGATGCGGCGCGCCGATAGACCCGCCGGGGATGGACACCTCGACCACTTTGTTAGGGGGTAGAACATAGACTGAGCCGGGCGGGAGCAGGTCCGTTGCAGTCAGCGCGCCGCTGAGGATCTGGAGCAGCACCGGCGCAGTTGGTGGCGTGAAGGTCTACTCAAACCACGGTTAAAACCACGGCAACACATGCAGAAAAATACCCGCACCGCGCCGTTGACAGTGAACTGGAAGGTCGTAAAGTCAAGCGCGATCTGCAAGTTCAGCTTGATGTCCGCGCCGCCCGGGAACGGCAGGCCGGGCACGAGCGCGAGCGGGTTCAGCGGGTGGAGGTCCTGCTCGACGAGCGCTGCCGTGCTCGGCACGACCGGCGTCGCGGGGTCGGCGACCGGCGCGCCGACGTACCGCAGGATGGCGCTGTTGATGCCGTTGGCGAAGCCGAGCGTGCCGGCGTTCGGCTGCGCTCGGATCCAGTAGTTGTTCACCGGCTGGTTTGCATTCAGCACGAACGAGTAGCGCTGCCCCGCGAAGATCTGGATCGAGTCGACGGTGTGAGCGAGGTGGCTGTCGTGGCTTAGCTTCAGCGAAGGTAGGGGAAGGAAGGCTTACTTGACGCTGTCGACTTCGATGATCGTCATCGTGTGGTTGTCGATCGAGAAGACCCAGTTCGGGTCACACGAGAGCGACGCCAGGCGGAAGCGGTATCGTACATTCCGCGTCACCGTGATAACCGCGAGCTGCGATGTGGGCTGAAAACTTGTAAGAACAAACAAAAGACTATTCAACGGATGCTCACCCCGCCTGCGTAGCGCCCCAGGCCGTTGATGAGCGTGGAGACAAGCGTCGGCGGAATCGCCAGTGCCGGCGCGGGGTCGTGGTACCAGTCAACGAGTGAGATGATCGTGGTGTCGTCGTCGACGTCATACAGGAGGCGGTGGGGGTCGAGCGGGTCGTAGACGACCATGACGCCGCGCAGCCCGTCGCAGTACTGCCGCCGCAGATGGCTGTGGTACCAGAACGTGCCTGCCTGGTCGCCCGTGGGAAACGAGTACAAGAACGAGTGGTTTGTCGTGATAGGACATTGCGTCACGAAGGACGGGCTGCATTGCGCCGTCAGCACTTGGCAGAGTATGAGGCGACCGAGGCACGTACCCGTCGGCCCAGGACCAGCCGTTGTTTTGGAAGAAACCGTGCCTGAGAGTGTCGCTTGTGAACAAACTTCATGACAAAGAAAAAAATATTAACCAGTGGATACTAGTCGACTTCAGCATGCTCGCGTCCGTGAGCTGGTCGATCACGTTGAGGTTGTAAGTCTGGCCCTTCGTCGCCTTGAGCGTCGGTCCCGGGAGGAGCCCGTTAGCGAGGACGGCATTCCGCGAGAAGCCGTCTGGCGCGACGACACCGTTCACGATGTGCTGCACAGCAATAAGCCTGAGCGGGCGACTATGCACAGGAAGAAGAGCAGACCAGGTCAGCGGTGGGCCCGATCATGACGGCCGTGGCCGCGAGTGGAAGGGCGAGCAGGGCAATGCGCCGCGAGAGCATCTTGAGGGAAGGTCGGAGCGTTGGGAGAATGGAATGTAGACGAGCCTTTATAATTGAGGCTGCTTCTGCGTGGGCACACGGACCGCCAGATATCGACGTCAGCGATGGCCGAGCTGTCGCGTCTGAAACCGGACGTTCGTCTGTAGCGAGTGACGGGCAGAATTCACGGTGTCCCGCTTCGCAGAACACAATTGCGCCAAAGCGTCCGGAGCCTTTTATCCGGATTCAGCTCTGGATTGTTGTATGGCTGCCAGAGAGTTAGGCCATATCAATCAACGGGTGGAAGGAAATTCAAGTTGTTCAATACTTACCTTGAAATCAATATCTTCCCGAAAGGGAACTAACGAGGCATTTTTTGTCGATATGACGCATCCCGTGTCGCACGACCGTCGGATCCTGCCAGCCGTGGGTGCGCGGCTGACAGACAAGGGGCAAGTTTGTTGTTTCGGTGATGCGCGGAATGGACACACAGAGGCCGCCCGCATGTTGCTTGCTTATAAGCTCCAGCAGTCCATCCCCGCCCCTGGCCATCACCCATCCAGCATGCTTTTCCGCTTCGCCGTCATCCTCGCCAGCCTCGCGCTCGTTGCCTCTGCGGTACGTCGTCCCGTCCGTTGTCCTGGCTGAGCAGATGACTAAAACTTGCGTCTTCCACAGGCAGACGCAGACGCACCCGTCTTCACCGCAACCCGCGTATTCAACACGCTCATCGAGCAGCCGCCGTACTTCGCAAAGGCGACAAGAGTCGTCACCTGGACGTCCGTCGCTCTCCCTCTTGCCTCCCTTTCTCGCTGTGCTGACGAGTCTTGGCCAGTGCGAGCCCCAGCACCTCTGTCGCAGAGCCCACCGGAACTGGAGTGAATTGAGCCTTGATTAATTATAGCCCCTTGACGTATCTAATTTTGTGTTGTGGCGGAATTTTGAGTAGAGTTTTGACATGCGTGATAACCGTAACCGTGCGGCGGATCTACCCGTGTGAGCGACTCGCAAGCGAGCATTTGCCAGTGCCGCGGCGTTGCGCCATATGTGCTGCCCACGGACCCTGTGCCTAGGTCCGACCAGTGAGTCTCACTGTATGGGGTCAAGCGAGAACGCCACATACGTAGAGTGTGCGTCATAGCTGGTGAGTTGTCAAAGATTCAAACTGCGCCCATTGAAATGCGCTGACGAAGAATGCAGGACCAGCAGCGGGGAAAAGGAATGGGTGCTAGCTCAGGAACCACAGGGCTTGTGGCACCATCGCAGCAGGCGCTGCTCCGCGGCCGCATGCAGGTCGCAGTGGGTGTAGAAACCGTCGTCGTCGTCCTGAGTAAAGCCCGCTGATGGCGTTTCAGCTTCCGTCACATCCTCGTCACAATCCTTGTTTTGTTGATTTAGATTTAGATCTGCGGAATTATGACGCTGACTCTGCACACCTCACCAGGCATCGTGGACAAATGCTGTTCATTGCTGGTCCAATGCAGAGTCATTGAAGACCAGTAATGAACAAAATAACTGTGCAATAAAGTCAACAAACACCGTTATCATCACTGCTTTTCCTCGACAACGAGTTCTCTGACCAGCGCTTTGATCTCGGACCAGTCTTCCACGAGCGGCTGCTCGCTTCTCCTCTCCACACCCCACGCATAAAACTTGAAAACCAGCTTTTCAACCGTCCTCCCCGCATCCCTATGCTTCTGCAAGAGCGTTTTCAGTTCGCCGAGGAACGGCGCCACGTAGCTCTTATCCTCGTCGGGCCCGTGCGTGAAATCCGAAACGTGGATCAGCCGGAGCGGGGGTGCCTTTTTGAGACCCGCGAGCGCCTGACACAGCTGCGCCGCGCTGTTCTCGAGGAAAATGTCGACCCGCTCCAGGCTCGGCAGGTGCGTGAGTGCGAGCGCCCACGTCTTGGCGCTGATGTCATGGGCGATCTCGGCGCTCAGGTGGGTGACGCGCTGAGTGGGGACTGCGTGCATGATCTTGGCGAGGATCTGCCGCAGCGACCGTGCGGTTGGCGGGTGGGAATTCAGCCCGAGCAGCGGCTGGAGGGCGTCGCTGAATCCGCGGGCGTGGTTGGCGGCGGTGTCGAAGTCGATTTTGAAGTTGGAGATGACCCCGCCGTCCTCGCTCTTCGGGACCGAGAACGACATGACCTCTGGCGCGGGGGAAAGTGGGGAGCGCAGGTGTAGCCGTATCGGTACGAGCAGCGCGCGGATGTCGCTGCCGTCATTGATGCCCAGCGGGAAGAGCGAGAGTCGCGTATTGCCAGGGAAGACGACATAGTTGAGGATGTCTTCGATGAAGAAACAGGAGTCGCGCAGATGCAGGAGCGTGAGGCGTTGAAGATGGACAACAGAATACAGCTCTGGTGTCCCTGGCATGAGCACACAGTCGAGTTGCAGTTCGACGAGCTCGGGACATTCCCGCAGTATTGAAAGAAGGACATGGAAATGGATGGGGTTGGCGAGATTGGCCTTGCGTGCGTTGATGGTGAGATAGCGCAATGAGTGTAGGGAGGTCCATTCCGTCGATATGTTGACCAGTTTTAACGCGTAGAGGTTTGGCATTCGAGAGAGCAGTGCACCAGACAGCTCCAAGTCCACGAGGAACCCTTCCGATTCTTCTTCCTCCTCCGCTCCGTAGTCTGTCATCTCCAACGCCAAATCTTGCAGGAGCGGGAATGACTGCGCAAACATTTGCTCCAGCAGGTCGACCATGCACTCTCGGGCCCCCGCTATGCTGAGCTGCTGCAGCCGGCTCGAAGCGCCCAGCAGCAACTCGGTGATGCCCGTATGCTTCAGCCGCTCTATATTGACCCGCAACGGTGCATCCTTCGAGCGCACCAGCCGCCGCCTAAGCGACCCGTACTTGACGCCCTCCCAGTCGAAGTCGATTACGCTCCACAGCGTCGGCGAGTCGAGCACGACCCCAAACCAGCGCCGACACACAAGCATGCGCGTCGCCAGGCCGCGCTCGTCCCACGCCGGGTGGTAGCTGAATATGTGCACGAGCAGCTCGTTCGGCAGCCGGTGGATCGGCACCATCCCGTTCCGCTCCGCGCGGAGCCCGTCCATCGTCGCATTCAGCACCTCCAGCATCGCGTCCAGCACAGCCCGCTTCGCCGCGCTGGTTTCGTACGGCAGGAAGGCCGCCGCGATCCTGCCTTCGTGATGAGATGCACATAATGACGGGGAGGCGGACGCACATGCTTTGCAACTCCGGCGCGAGTTCCGACATGGAAGTTAGTGACAAGAAGGGATCGATGAGTCAGCCAGCTGATTGATGTGATTAGCATGTGACAAGCCCGATCAACCACCATCTCCCTCCTCCGCGGCTTCCTCCCGGACTATCCACGCTAACAAGCAATGGGGACCGATGTATTCAATCTTAAATAAATCCTACCGTAAAGCTAAACCCAAAATGGTAGTGTTACAGTCACAGTCACATCTGATATGTTTCTGATATTTAATATCTTTTCTCTTGTCCTTTATTTCTCAATTTATTTCCTTTCCTTTGATTATGCACATCCATGGCATCACCAGGAATAGCATGACCACAAGTCTCATGTTTGTCTGATACTTATGTTTGACTTATGTTCAAACATGAAAGAAAAAGTCTGCTTCACTGTACACCGCCAACGGGTTTCCGGCTGTGACACAGTCGGAAAACTCCCGGTGGATACATCTGATGCCCAGCTGATTCCCGGATCAGTGCCACATGGTTACCATGTTTGGTTGCAAATGGATCCACTCTGGGTCCAGAGTGTCTGGAAACCAGCTGGACATCCAGGGAGGCACCATATAGCATATTTGGTAGGATATATACAAGCCACCCGATGGTCTCACTTGATTAGCTGAATGCAAATGAACAAAAATTAGATATTATTGCAGGGTACTACATATGTACATGGCCACTGTAATACTACCACACTCACAGTGCTTGAAATACTTACTCTGCCGCAAGCGCAAGCGCCGATGATCGCGATGGCGAGAATCGGGTCTGTGGGCATGAGGCACGCGGCGACGGCGAGGGAGGAGAGGAAGGTGAGGCCGGGGGTGAGTGCGTAGATGAAACCTGCTGAAACGAACCAGCCCTGTGCACATGGATGGGTAAACGTGGTTAGCGGCGGTGTGGCTGTGCTGGGATCCAGGCTCCTTCCATATTCAGATGTATTAGTCACACATATCAGAGTTTTCCGCCACAGACCATCTCGCAGGACCGCGTGTCCGAGCTACCGCGCCTTGTCCCCTTCTCAAGGCTCGCCATCATCTCGCGCCCCCAGGCCCTCTCCATTTGGTGACGAGAGCGGATTCGACACCGACACGCTGGCTTCAGCGCCATACAAGAAGCTTAAAGACACGGAGCGCGCAGCAGCACGAACGCAGCGCAACAGCATAAATACAGAAGATACACTACAGACACCCAGGGACCGCCGCTCGGCTGAACGCGAACGCCGCAGAACAGAGACAAACTTGACCGACACAACACTAGACGACACACCCAGCCCAGTCTCGAGCTGGTCAAACCTAGACTGGCAGCCTACGCCTGAGCGAACACCTTCGCCAGACCACGAAACAGTGCCCGAAAGAGTGGCACACATAGCGCACACTAACCAACAAATCCCACCGACAAAAGCTACGAGTGTAGCAACACCAAAAGCCAAAGAAGAGGACAAGATGGCACCAACTACCACCCCGACGTTATTTGCGGGTGCTTGTACAAACGAGAAGGCACATGGGTGGCTGCGCCAACTACAACTAGGGTGGAAATTCGATGCAGTGGATGAGGAGAAGCGGTACAGATTCAAGTACAGCTTGAAGCCGGGCTCAGAGGCAGAAGTGTGGTACGAGGGCATAGCGGAAGCGGACAAGAACACATGGGCAAAAGTGGAGACGGCGTTTACGAGGAAGTGGCCCAAGCCGAAGGCAGCGTCAAGGTCGAAGGATAGCGTGATCGAAGAGCTCAAGGGGAATGTTTTAAAGGCAGAAATGTTGGGGCAGCAATGGGAGGACGAAGACGGAACACCAGTGCAAGCGCATGTAGCATGGGCTCAACACAGCCGAAAGCTCATCGCGGATCTCGGGGGCGACAGCGACATGCTCATGCTGAGCGATGTCCGGCAGAACCTCCCGCTGGCGCTGAGGCGCTACCTCAACGAATCGACACTCACGAGTTGGGACCTTTACTTCGCAGCGGTGGAAGGCCTGACGAGCAATCAAATGAAAGATGCAGCGGAAGAGCAGAGCCGCTTTGAAGCGGTACCAAGTGCCCCCAGCCGATTTGCGGACACTTTCGGTAACAGCCTATCCCTTGCCAGCCCGAGGATACAAGGCCGCTCGCCTCGCAACAACCTGATATCAGCGGCCAGGATCTCTCAGACAACCGCAGCTCCAACACCAAGGGCAGCCTTTGCAACACCATACACCCCTGCGAGAACGCCAGACCCGTTTATGACACCCCAGCGTACGGACCAAGGGAGACGCCGCACATGGCAGGAAAGGATGTCGGCAGACTATGGCGGGTCAACGATACGCGCAAGCTCATTCACGCAACAACTGATGGCAATGACGCCAGGTAGCCCGTCGGAGGGGCGTACATCGACTCGACACTTTGCAGATCAAACCCTAGACGCCGATCTGGTCCACAAGATACTTCAGAACCCCCGTATATTCCAGAATGACCAAGCGGGACAACAGCAATACCAAACGGCCTTCAACGACTGGCTGTCAAAGAACCAGGCAGCGACCAGACCGGATTATGGGACATTCCCATTCCGCCCCGGAACTTTACCACCAGGATCCGGAGAATGCTTCCGGTGTGGTTTTGCGCACCGACCCAGCACACCGAGCAACCAACTGCAATACCGGGACACCGGTGCCCACGGTCGAGGGTGGGATACGGATGAAGGTGGCGCGCATTCAACGGGAGCAACCATCAGTGTTCCAGGGGGAGGAAATCCCGTACGACCTGCTTGCGGATGTGGACTATGATGAACTGGAGGGTCAGTTGGGAAATGGGGAGGAGCCCACCGTTTGAGGGGTGGTGCGGCTCCGATATCTAATTCCCCGGAAACAACTCAAAGACAATTCGAAAATGCCCGGGACGTTACTAGATACGATCCACTTGTATTCTGTGCGCGTGTGAATACACCTGTTATCCAGTACTCGACGTCCCTTCCAGCAGCAATCTTCAGCCTTGATGAGTCCGAGTACTCTAGTGTTCGGGCCTTCCGGAAAAGAATCCAGCTCATTGGACCTAATAACAACATTGTCCGGATGACGGCACAAATAGACAATGGGTCGATGCGTAACTGCATTTCATTGACAAAATGGAAAGAGTACGGACACTGTCTCGGTAGCCTTAAGCCATCAAGGGTTATGCTACGAGTGGCGAATGGTATACAACTGCGACTGCGAGGTAGATGGTGGGGCGAGGTATCAGTCGGCGGAGTCTGTGTACCAGGCCAATTTGAGGTCTTTGACTGCGGGGATGCTTTCGAAGTACTGCTGGGTATGCCTTGGCTCAGGAGCGTACGGGCAGTCCATAACTATGAACGGGAGGAGATCAGCATCAAGTCAGATAACAATGAAACAATCCTACGGAACGACAAGACACCACTGGCAATGGATGGGAAGCCCAGCAGCGAACAAAAGGAGGAGGTGGAAGCAATGTGTGTGGAGCCGGAGAACAGCGAGAAGGACACAGAGGCAGCTATAGACAGCGAGCGGGGAACGGATGAGGGTGAAGCACCAGCAGTCAACCTGTGCGGGGATGGTCAAACCGAATGGGAGAGTGAAGAGCGAGAACGGATATTGAGGAAACGGGATAAGCGCGCGAAGATGAAAATTGAGCAGCTCAGACGGAGAGCAGAGCAACCCTTGCCATTCCCAGGGCTTGGATATACACCAACCATGTGGACAGGACCAAAACCGCTGCGGTTACACCCATACCCCATCTTGAAACCTCAGCGGACAACAGTGACCATAACACCGGAAGCAGAACAGGCCCAGATGAAAGTTCTCATGCTGGCGGATGAGGACAGGCAACTGGAGGATGAGCACCAACGCGTCGAGGAGCTTCACGGAGATGTACCATGGGGAGAAACCCGCTTTGCGAGGTATTTGGTTGTCGAGCCGTTGACGGAGGCCGCAGATGCCAGTGAGAACGACAACTACAGTGATTTCACCGGGCTAGAACGGGAGCCCCGATCGACAAAGGCCCGAAAGGCCGGCCAGTCCGACACACAAGGCTGGGAGCAACTACTGTCGCCACCACAAGACCGGGCGTGTATCGAGCAATGATGAACGTCACCAGTCCCGCGCTCAAGTCAGGAGGCAAGGAGTGGTAAGAGGTGCCGCGACATGGAGGCAGCGCAGGCGGGAAGCAGCGGTGGAAAAGATACTCCAACTAGCAGACATGGAGAAGGCAATCGAGGTGCAGTCATGGTTGAATTCGGAAGCTGGAATGAGACGATGGAGGAACAAACTGGACGAGCTACGGGAGATGGCGGCAGCAGCGGTGGAACCAGAAGCCATAGGGACAGAACCTGAGCTGGAACAGGTGAATGCGCTGGGAGAAGTAACGACGGAGGAGTTCAAGATCGATCGCGGAACCAACAAGTCAATGCGCGTGCTGGACCCTTATAACGAGAAGCGTGTACAAGAGATCCTGGACAAGATACAGATCGGGCCGGACCTGTCGGAGGTTCAACGAGAGCAGGTGCGTAGTCTAATCCGTGAGTATGCAGACGTCTTTGCACTCTCGATGTCGGAGGTACTGTATGTCGACTGGTGGAAACACCATATCAACATTGACCCCGGGGTCAAACTGCCTACAAGGATCTCCCAACAGCCACTCACTGAGAAGCAGAAGGACTGGTTTTACAATATTCTTGATGAGATGGAGGAGGCCCATGTGGCGAGTTCCAGGCGAGTTCTTAAAATGTCTGAATAGTACAAATCTGGCTCCCAAAGATGCAGGCAAAACCGGGATGACACGCGTGGAGGTGCTGCGAAAGGTCAATGCGGAATGTGTCAAAAATGGGATGCCACCCTTCTGGGAAGAGGTACGCGAGCCAGGCGAGATGGATGAAGCACTGTTAGAGGCAGTCGAGTCGGGCGGGCAGTCCAGAACCAAGAACGACAAAGTGGCGGGTATGCCATGCTTTCACAGCACTCAACCGGGCGACACAGATCCCGCCATTCCCACATGGCGATTTCAAGGCGAAACAGGAGTTCGCGGCTGGCCATTGA